CCGTTGAAAGCTGCCGATGAGAATTCCACTTCACTACCCTTACACATATATAATTTAAGTGAAATATACCTCACAACCCATTATTGACGAAGACGAGTAAAATGGAAAATTAATTGAAGGTATACTTGAAAGATCTCAAAAATTTATTTTATTTTCAGCCCTAAAAGAGTGGTAAAAGAGGTTGTTTTCGCTATGTAAAAAATGTCATAAGAGAGCAAATTCTAAAGCAAATGTCACAATTAATTTTAACTTCACATATTAAGAATTATGTAAATTAACGTTTGAAAGCATTAAAATATCAAAGAGAGTTAATGTGTGAAGCAATACCTTGTCTTGAAAGAGCAAGACTAGCTAATTGAAAAATATGAACTACCTAATTGATTGAAGATTTAAAAAGGGTTAGATTTTGTATTGACAAAGATGCCCAAAAAATAATTTAATGATTTTTAAAACTGATTTTTAATCCAAAAATCTTACTAATTTTACACCAAATCTCTATAGTGACACTTAATTATGGTAATGTTTATCTAAACAATGAATAGAAAAGAAAAGAAAAAGAAAATGTTGCTTACTTGAATACTTTCTGAGTTAAGAGATGGCTTCAGTAATTCTTAGAACTTCACTAGATAATATCGCCACACAATCTAAAACAAGCTCAAACGATAAACAACAATCTGATCAAAACTTTATAATAATGAATCTCAATCGGCCATTGATGTGTTAGCAGAAACAAGTGTTTATATATCTTATCATATACTTAATCTTTTAGGTTTCCCTTTTTTTCTTTTTTTCTCTCAGAAATGTAAATTAAAATAATTGAAAGTGAAGGAATGATTAACATATTTAGTCTATCACAAATCAAAAGACAAAATTCTCGAAGCTTATGCTATTCAAGTAGTATTATTTTATTTATATTTTTGGAAGTATAGCAATAAGTAAGCATTCTAAATACGATAATGATATATCTTGAAAGCTCACCTCAGCAATAGATCGATATTCAGATATTTGCGAGAACTCTATCACTTCTGAGCTTGGGAAGGTGTGGTCACAGTTTGCAAAGCCTAGCTTCATTATGAAGCAAATGAATGAACACCACATTTTAGTTCACTCTAATAGTATTACAATTTTCTACTTTGTTATTTAATATTTGATTGGTATAACTGGGCATTATAATTGGTACACTTAGTTCTATTATTGGTTTCAAGAGGGTTTTTAAAGTATGGCTGTTTTTTAAGCAACTTTTATCTTTTTATATGTTGAGATAGATGCTAAACTCCATCAAAACAACATAATTAAAGAATAAACTATCGTTAAGATTAATTTGAGCATAAAAGTTAGTATCATAACTTTACCTGGTGTGTAAGCAATTTATAGATCCTTGAAGTACTGATGAGAACACTTGACTACCCTTAAAGATATATATCAAATCCCCAAACAATGTCAATTCAACAAAACATTATCTTTTCATATACTTTATCTGCCTTTCATTTTTTTCAACTTTTTTTTTTATTTTTTTGGGTAGGGATCGAATTAATGAAATTATAGAAAGAATCAAATCATAAATATGAAGTTGATAAGGGCAAAATTAGAATATAACAGAGCAAAAGATAGTATTTTGATAAAAATTAATCAATTTTCTAGATGATGTCCAAAGATTCACAAGCAAGTTGAAATGGGAAAATTTTAACCTGAAATTCACCTAACTGGTAGCTTTTAGATCTCCATAAATTTGCAAAACTGAATCACCTATGAGCATAAATGAAGATTAATGAACATATATATATATTTATCATACAGACCTAGACTAAGATCATTAATTTAAAACCAAAAGTAACTCAGTAGATCACAAATGAAGATCCAAAGAGCCAGGAATGACCTTAACTGTAAGCTAATATATCCTCAAATAATGAAGCAAAAGCAAATACTTTCTTCAGAGAATCAGATACTTTAAGAGTTTGCTACAAGTAAATAATGACAACAATCTTCATATATTTTCAAAATCTCTAACACCTAAGAGTATATATTGTAGATTAAGAACATCTTCAAGATCTAAAAAGTGATTCATTACAACACCAACATAGACTTTCAGTTGACTCTCTTAGCTCAAGATATTACATCAAATGACATATTATCTTCAGGAATCAAATATAGTAAGATGCTGCAAGTAGATAAATAACAGAAACCAGAAGATCAAAACATCCACCAATAATCTCAACCACTAAAAGCATTAGCACTAAACCTGTATGATAAGAGGGTATTTGATAGTTTCTGCTAACCATGCAAAAAATTAATATTTACCAATCTCATAAAGGGTTATATAAAGTAAGTCCTAAATATTTTCAAACAAATTTTAACAATTCCTTCCAATTAACTCAGCAATTAAGATATCAAGTAAAAAATTAACATTTTATGTAGTCAACTAATGTATACCTTCGGACTTAACAAGATATAACATTAAAAAATGAGTAAATGACTTTTTTGCCACCCAAATCATATCCTAATGACACTTTCCCACCATTTTACTACATAAAACACAATTCCGTTAGTAAATTTTGTTGGGAAGAAGGGTAGAATAGTCAAAATTTTATTAGAAGTAAAGGCAGGATGGTCTAGGTATGGTCGGTTGTTTGCGCGCTCAAGCTCTTTTCCGGCGACCCTATCACCAGAAATTACTCCTAGCACTACTATTCACTCCACTAGCATGTCCTCTCCAAAACCCCTAACATTCCCAACACCCTCTACTCGTCGAACACCGCCGGTCATCACTACCCCTCTTTCCTAGGTTTAGGGTTGTTTATTTGATTGATGATTTGGGATTGACCTGAATAGGTGTTTGATGCTAGAAGATGACGAAGGAAGGTTTCTATGAGTGAATTTTGTCTTTTGTGTGGTTGCTTTCCGGTCATTGGCACTCCCCAAAGCTTCAACGTTTCCTTATTTTCCCCTTGCACGCAACCTGTTTGACAAAAGGTCGAGCTCAACCTAGCACTCTCCAGTCGAGCGCGTGCAACAAGATGGCACTTCGCCCAACACAGACCAACAAAAACAAACACAAGACTGACCTGATTGGCAAACAATGATGCACAAAGAGATAGAATCCAGGCACGCTTTTGCATTCTTGGCAGGTTGTGCAAGCGCTCACAAGGGCAGGTTGGTTGGGGAATTTTTACGAGCAGGTGGTTGGTGCCCAAAAATGACTGGTGGACGGCAAACTAGGAGTGGCAAAAGTCGACTGAATGGTGGGTTTTGAAGATGGCGTGAAGGAGGTTCCAATGGTGGTGGAAGAGTGAATTTTTGGTGTGCCAGTCGATCAGAAACAAGCCTGAAAAATTGGATGTTTTTTGGCGATTAGCGTGTGAAAATGGGTAGAGTAAGGTTATAGCTAAAATCGAGTCGAGTATCTGGGTATTCAAACTCGACTCAAGTGCTACGATATCGAATTNGGGTTTTGAAGATGGCGTGAAGGAGGTTCCAATGGTGGTGGAAGAGTGAATTTTTGGTGTGCCAATCGATCAGAAACAAGCCTGAAAAATTGGATTTTTTTGGCGATTAGCATGTGAAAATGGGTGGGGTAAGGTTATAGCTAAAATCGAGTCGAGTATCTGGGTATTCAAACTCGACTCAAGTGCTACGATATCGAATTCGAGTTCGAGTTTAAGCCTGGTCGAGCCTAAGGAATCGAGTTTGAACTCGAACTCAGTATCTGAAATTGGAATTCGAGTTCAAATAATCGAGTCTTAGTTGAGCTATAATCGAGTATTAGTCGAGCCTTAATCGAGTTCCATTATTCGAGCTTTAATCGAGTTTTAGTAATAGCTATAATCAAGTTCGAGTCCAAGCAATTTAGCAAGCAGGTGGCGTGTAATTGAGTCCATGCAATTTTGTGGGGATTTCGACCACTAAACACTATCCACACACTTTAGAAAACTACACAAGCAACAAACAACAAAAAAATTCCAGAAAAACCTGGATGGTAAAAGCCAAAACTTACTATCCCTTGCCAAAAACAATCCTTTGACACTGACAAACGGCGAACAACAAGCAATCCAAGACCAGGGTTTTAAAGACCAAACCAAGATGATTTGAATGGGACTAACCACATTCATTTCTAATTGATAAATCAACTGCAAATGAGATTGAAAATGTCAGTTTTCGCAAAAAAGTAGTATAGTTTTCGACGAATGACGAGTCGAACAATGACAAAAAACACACGGATGGAAAAAAGAGATCAAGACCTTTCTAACGGTGGGTAGGCGTTGATTTTCGACATCGGTAACATCTAGAATCAGGCTTAGAAAAATGGGGATGAGTGTCGACAGCAGGTGAGTTAATCGATGACGAGAAAGACGACAAACAAAAGTTGCAATTTTCGGTTTTGAAAGAGAAACAACAAAGAATGAGAGAAGAGATATTTGTGATTTAGGGATTTTAATTTTTATTACCAAATCTTGTTTTACATTATTTGAATATGGGTGAATTTGCAAATTTTACAACTTATAAAATTCATACGACCCTTATTACTTTAAAAACCATTTACTTAACTCTCAAGCTTAGAAAAAATCACGAACCTTTAGAGTTGAGTTCTACTAAGATCGAACTTGACTCGAAACACTACTCAAACTCGAACTTGACTCGAAACACTACTCAAACTCGAACTTGACTCGACTAATGCCAAGCTAAGTTCGAGCCAAAACCGAGCCGAGCTGCTTGGCTCGATTTTCACCCTTAGGTGAGGTCGATTAGAGGTAATTTTATCTTCATAATGAAAATCATTGTTATTAACAGAAATTGTTAACAAAATATAACATTTGGGTAAAAAAGTGATATTTTAAAATTCTGTGGGTAGAAAAATGTCATTAGACTATTATTTGGGTGGGAAAAAGTCGTTTACTCTTAAAAATAATTGTATAAATGTTAAGAATAATGTAGATTAATGCTTGAAAAGATATTTTATTATGGCATTAAAATATCATAAGAGAGTTCAATATGTGAAGCAATACCTGGAGGAGACAATTTGACGTCAAAAGTATTATCTTGAAGAAGCAAGAGTTTGACTTGAAAAATAATGAACTACCTAAATGATCTGAACAATAAAAGAAGAGTTAGATTTTGTATTGATGGAAATCCCCAAATAAAAATTAATGATAAAGTTGTTTACACACAAAAAAATAAAAAATGTGCACTTGATATTTATATTCTACGCATACTCGTCATTAAAATTTTGATTTTTAATCCAAAAATCCTAATAATTTTAATACCAAATCACTATAGTAACACTTAATTATATAGCAATGCTTAATTGAATGTGCAATATTTAGTTGCGGAACCAAGATTTTGACTTACAGGGGCTAAAGTGAATAAAATAGAAAGGAAAAGAAAAAAATGTTGCTTACTTTCTCGAGTAAAGAGATGGCTTCAATAACTTCTTAGAACTTCAATAGATAAATATCTCCACAAAATTCTCAAACAAGCTGCAAATGGTAGACAACAAACTAGCTATTCAAAACTTATGAATAAAAAATCTCGATCGGCCATTGGGGTGTTAGCACAAACAAGTGTTTATATATCTTATCTCATCCTTAATCTTTTAATTTTCCTTTTCTTTCTTAGAAATGTAAATTAAAATATTTGAAAGTAGAAGAATTAACATATCTAGTTTAGCACAAACCAGAAGACAAATAGTAATAAAAGTAAATAACATTGTTCATAAATCTTAAGAAATCATACCTAAATGGAAGGTTGTAACCTAGAAAAAGGCACCTTACTTTGAGACTTGAAACTTTTGTTACCTGCTATGAGCATGAAGATGAGTGAACATACACATTAATGACACGTAGAAACATCTAAAGAAATATTCAACAAACAATTCTTGGTAATAATGAAAGAATAATATATATATATATACTTCTATAATAAATTATGTGTGTTTATATGTAGTAAAATTGGGATAAAAATTGTATTTAAAAAGACCATCACTAATCCTTCCAAATAGTATGAATATGCTATGCATCTTGAAAACTCACCTCAGCAGTAGATACGGTTGTTCATATATTAGCAAAATCCCTATCACTTACAAGCTCGAGAATGTTGGTCACAATTTGCAAAGCCTAGCTTCATAACCAAGGAAAAACACACATTTTAGTGCAAGCTTTGATAGATCAACGTTACAAATTCTTATCCTTAATCAATTTGTATATTGGAATTGGTACAACTAGAACATTGTAATTGTAAGATTTCTAATCGCTAAGTGATATACAGATGCTAAGCTCCATTAAAACAACATAACTAAAGATAATGGAAAGCATAAAAGTTAATTTTCATACCTTGTGTGTAGGTAAGCATAATACATTCAGTATGAAAGCTGCCGATGAGAATTCCACTTCACTATCCCTTATACATATATAATATTAAGTGAAATATACCTCACCACCCACGATCACAACTAACAACACCCAACCGGTTTACTTTTCCCTACCTTCAAATTTATTAGATCGCCAATAAATCAAAAATCGATAAAATATGAAGTTGATAAAGGTAAAAATCAGAAAGATAAAAATTAGCAAAAGTAAGTATTTTAATGAGTAATCAATTTTCCAGATGATGTTCTAAGATTATTAAGTGATCATATTGAAACATGAAAATTAACTTCAGATCTTCGGATATTTGCAAAATCTCTTATTTATTTGATTTCTTTTCAAGAGTTAAATTGAAAAAATAACCCAATTGTTTTGACAAAGACGAGTAAAATGAAAAATTAATTGATATAAGGTATACTTGAAGATCTCCAAAAATTTGATTTTATTTTCAGCCCTTAAAAGAGTGGTAAAAGAGGTTGTTTTCGCTATAGTAAACAAATGTCATAAGAGAGCAAATTCTAAAGCAAATGTCACAATTTAATTTTAACTTCACATATTAAGAATTATGTAAATTAACGTTTGAAAGCATTAAAATATCATAAGAGAGTTTAATGTGTGAAGCAATACCTTGTCTTGAAGAAGCAAGAGCTAGATTTGAAAAATAATGAACTACCTAATTGATATGAAGATTTAAAAAGGGTTAGATTTTGTATTGACAAAGATGCCCAAAAAATAAATTTAATGATTTTTTTAAAACTGATTTTTAATCCAAAAATCTTACTAATTTTACACCAAATCACTATAGTGACACTTAATGATATGGTAATGCTTATCTAGAGCAAATGAAATAGAAAAGAAAAGAAAAATGTTGCTTACTTAGAATACTTTCTGAGTTAAGAGATGGCTTCAGTAATTCTTAGAACTTCACTAGATAAATATCGCCACACAATCTAAAACAAGCTGCAAATGATAAACAACAAACTATCTTATCAAAACTTTATGAATAATGAATCTCAATCGGCCATTGATGTGTTAGCAGAAACAAGTGTTTATATATCTTATCATATACTTAATCTTTTAGGTTTCCCTTTTTTTCTTTTTTTCTCTCAGAAATGTAAATTAAAATAATTGAAAGTGAAGGAATGATTAACATATTTAGTCTATCACAAATCAAAAGACAAAATTCTCGAAGCTTATGCTATTCAAGTAGTAATTATTTTATTCTATATTTTTGGAAGTAGTAGACAATAAGTAAGCATTCTAAAATACGATAATGATATATATCTTGAAAGCTCACCTCAGCAGTAGATACTGATATTCAGATATTTGCGAGAACTCTATCACTTCTGAGCTTGAGAAGGTGTGGTCACAGTTTGCAAAGCCTAGCTTCATTATGAAGCAAAGGAAGTGAGAACACACATTTTAGTTCAAACTCTGATAGTTTACAATTTCTTATCCTTTGATTAATTTGAATATTTGAGTTGGTATAACTAGAGCATTATAATTGGTACACTTAATTCTATTATTTGTTTCAAAGGTGGTTTTAAAGTATGGTCTGTTTTTTAAGCAATCTTTTTATATGTTGAGATGAGATGCTAAACTCCATTAAAGCAACATAATTAAAGAATAAATTATTGTTAAGATATATTTAAAAACATTAAAGTTAGTATTCATACCTATACCTGGTGTGTAAGCAAAATATAATATATCCATGGAAAGATACTGATGATAACTCCAACTGACTACCCCTTAAAAGATATGTATTTCAAATCCCCAAACAATGTCAAATTCAACAATAACATCATCCTTTCAATATACTTTATCGTGCCTTTCATTTTTTTCAATTTTCAATTTTTATTTTTTTGGTGAGGGATGCGAATTAAGTGAAATTATAGAAAGAAATCAAAATCCGGTAAAATATGAAGTTGATAACGGCAAAATTAGAATATAAACAGTAGCAAAAGATAGTATTTTGACAGATAATTAATCAAACTTTCTAGATGATGTCCAAAGATTCACAAGCAATTGTATTGAAATGGGAAAATTTTAACCTGGAAATTCACCTAACCTGGTAGTCTTTATATCTTTCATAAATTTGCAAAATCTGAATCACCTATGAGCATAAATGAAGATTAATGAACATATATATATATCCAGACCTAAAGATCATTAATTTAAAACCAAAAAGTAACTCAGTAGATCAAAAATGAAGATCCAAAGAGCCAGGAATGACCTTTAATTGTAAGCTAATATATCCTCAAATATATGAAGCAAAAGCAAATACTTTCTTCAGAGAATCAGATACTGTTAAGAGTTGTGCTACAAGTACAATAATGACAACAATCTTCATATATTTTCAAAATCTCTAACATCTAAGAGTATATATTTGTAGATTAACGAACATCTTGCAAGATCTAAAAAGTGATTCATTACAACACCAACATAGACTTTCAGTTGACCATCTCTTAGCTCAAAGATATTAGTATCAAATATTATCTTCAGAGAATCAAATTATCGTAAAGTAGTGCTGCAAGTAGATAAATAACAGAAACCAGAAGATCAAAACATCCACCAAAAATCTCAACCGACTAAAAGCAGTAGCAAAAGCAAATTATTGTTACGTTAAAAGATCGTACCGAATGGGCTGATGGATCAATGTTATCCTGAGTTGAAATTCTTCTATTGAAAATGAACTGAAACTCGCCCTGTAACTTTAGATCACACAAAACTGAGCTGCCAATGGAGATAAATGAGAATGTGTAACTTGTACAGTAGTCCACTTCAGAGTAAATTAAGAAAGCATTATTTTCCAATCCCTCTCAAACACGTATGCTCTGCTTTTGTAAGGGTAATCGATGGCCCACCATGTCTGTAGACTATTGACTTATCAAATTAAAAGAAAACATTAAAGGCGACACTGGCAGTTGCAGGGAAAGTTACAATTAAGAAAAAAGATCGATTTTTTTTTTTTAATTGTTAAATTTATGGTCAATTATATTCTATAATGAGCTTCTTTTATATCCTTTTGAGGAGAATGACCCACCATGCTCGCCACAACCTAGCTCAATTCAAAAGACGACAAAATTTTAACGCATAAAAACACCCGAGACAGCTATTCATTTTCCCCGAATGGCCCCCATGTCTGCCACGATTTTGTAAAGGATGTTTGATATTTTTATTTTTTAATGGGTGATGGTTTTTTAACTAGAGGAGCAGGGGTTGGTTTCAAATAAGATATTACAAGGTACTGCATCTTCGAAAATTCAGTGAAAAAATAATGTAAAGTCAAAAACGAGGTGGTTTCATTTAAGTTAACTGAAGGAATCCTGGACATCAGATCAAGATAGATCCAAGGGCTGACATTTATTGATATGGGCATATATAAAAGAAGCAATAGTGTTGTGAACAGCCACATCTTTTGTTAATCTGAAAGGTTAGGGATCGTGAAGAAAAAATTAGAGCAACTAGGGTTGGGTATTTGCTGAGGCTTTCTGGGAATAATCTAGATAGATTAGAGAGAGGGTTGCGTTTCCTTCCTGAGGCTGGGTTAGTCCTCTGTTTCTTGCAGATTGTAGAGAGATTCTTGAGCGAATAGGCCTAGGTTAAGTGTTACTCTGTTTCGGCAGATTTGTATGGTTTTTCTTCTTGCAAGTGTTGGATAATCTTTTAGTGCTGTGAGTATCCGTATTTCGGAGCTCAACGTGGGTGAAGTCTATCCAAGATTGGATAGACGAACTATGGTAAATTCGTGCCTTGATTTTGTGTGTGTTTTGATCTTGAATCTTAATTGTGTTTGTTTGTGTTGCGAATTGATTAATTAGGCTTGGGTTATAAGATTCAATCAATTGGCAAAACAACATCAACCATTTTGTTATAACAAGCAGTCAAACTCAGTTCATAAAACACTTGAAAAATTATATATATGTATTTTCAATTTTATGGAAGCTAACAAAAAAAAAAAATGGTTTATCCATAAAAATGGGGTCAAATATTCATCTAAACACTGCCAATATTGGTCTTAATCTTGATTAACCCCAAAGAGTTGGTCTAGCAGTTAAGGAAATTTACTCTTTTCCTTGAGTCTTGGGTTTAAATCTTGGGGTTACTTAATACTTACTGCAATAACATTATGATTTACCTAGTCTTTTGAGTTTATAGGGTGTTTAATAAACTCCAGAAATTAGTTGAGGTGCGAACAAACTTGCCTTGACATCCCAGTTACCAAAAAAAATAAAAAATATTGGTCTTGATTCTCTTGTAAAAACAAGAAGTGAAGCAAGCACTAGTACAATTCGTGGACAAAACGAGAAATGTACAAATAGCTCAGAATTGGGGTTGGAACAGGATTGACAAATGGGTGGGCCAAAAGATTATATTCTTTTGTAGGGCATACGCCAGCCAAAAAAATTGTACTCAATTTTGTGTACCTTTCCCCATATGTCTTTTCAATTATTTGTTATTTTTATAAATTCAAATCCTCTATTGGGATTGATTATATAGATCTCATTTCCGTCTTTGATTAGCAAAAGTTTTGAAATGATAAAATGACCAATGACAACTTGTCCTTCATGCAATAACAGTCGGAAGTGTGATTCTAGTAACCATGGTTGGCCAACGAATGTCATTGTTGTAATTTAAGTGATAAAACAATAATTTAATTTAACTATTAATATTTTAATTTAATAGTTATAATTTAAAATTTAAAATTCTAATAAATTAGGGTTCAATAGGAAAAAATATTTGAAACAAGGGGAAAGTGGGCATTTTTCGCGCAACAAAACTAAACGTTCCTGGAATGGGCATCCTTTATATATATATATATATATATATATATAACCCGAAGCCGATCTAGAAAACAAAACTACTTTCGGTTTCCAAAATATGACTAAACCAGTTTTTCGGTTTAGTTAATGGTTCAGGGGTATTTTCAAACCGGTTAATTGAAACCGGTTTTGCCTAAAAGTCTCTAAACTTTGGATCACACAAAATTGAGTTGCAGATATAGATAAATGAGAATGTGCAACTTGTAAAATAGTCCAACTTCAGAGTAAACAGGAAATTAAGAAAGCATTATTTTCCAATTCCTCTCAAACATGTTTGCTCTCTTTTGTAAGTGGAATTAATGACCCATCATGTATGTAGAGAATTGACTTATCAAATCAAAAGAAAAGATTAAAAACGTTTTTTGAGTGTCACTTTCCTTCTGTGTATAAGCTTGATTGCCAGTTGCAGATAAGAGGTGTAAATGAGCTAAGCCGAATCGAGCCAAGCTTTGGGCTAATCAAGCTCAGCTCGATTGCTATAGTGTCGAGCTCAAGCTCAACGTTGAAAATTCGACTTTGAGCTCGAGCTAAAAAAAGAAAAAAACTCTTCGAGTCTCCACTTTTTTACTTTCCCAATTGAGCTTTGAGCTCAAACTCGGCTCAACAAAACTTTAGCCTAGTTGGAGCTCGAGTCGAGTTGACACCCCTAATTGCAAAGATAAGTTACAATAAAGAAAAAAGATTGGAAAAGCTTTTTTTTTTTTTAAATTGATAGATTTATGTTAAATTATATTCTTTAGTGAGCTTCTTTTCCATCCTTTTGAGGAGAATGACCCACCATGCTCACCACAACCCCGTTCAATGTATAACATGACAAAAATTTAATGTCTTTTCTATCCTTAAGATAATTAGATATTTGCAAAATCTCTTTACCTTCTTCAATAATCGAATATATCCTCAATCAGTTTTATAAGTAAATAATAACAAATGAAACAGCTAAAAGCAGAAAATAATCATGGCCAAATTAAAGTAAATTATCATATAAAAGTTTAAATATCATAAATTGTTGTTTTTCCTGAAAATGAGACTCGCCTAGTAGCTTTAGATCCTCACTGAATCTCTATCACATTATATTCATAAGAAGTCCAACTTCTAGATAAATACGCCTTGAAAGTTGGTCCTGCCTTTCTAAGTGGAAACATGATCCACCGTGTCTGCAAAGACTTCAACATTAAATTATAAATTCTGCAAAGACTTAATTAAGATTATTGAGACAGGAAAACGTGTTAGGTTAGGTATAGGATGGAGAAGCAAACAAATAATCTAATCCATGAATTAATTAAGCGGGGGTAGCATAGTCATAGAAAAGACAAAAGCAGAAATTTCTTTTAGATTTGTGCTCACGATGAGAATATTTTGGAAATAAGGTCCAAGACTCCAAGTGCATAACGACAAAATTACTAATTTTAAATACAAAATATAATGTATAAAAATACACTCAAATGACCCACCATGTTTGCCACGATTTGGTGTACCAATTGATGGGAAAAAAGATCAATCACCTAATTCTTAAACAATGAGCTAATATGATAAATGATACAATAATTTTATATGCAATGATATATCATTATAGATGGCAAATATCATTCAACCTGTTCCCACCTCAAATTTATTATGTCAAAGTGTTAGGGCAAAAAATCGTCATTGGCCCAACTAGGAAAACGGGACTAATAATGAAGAAGAGACCAGGCCCAATCCCGATGCAGCCCAAACTGGATTAAGCCCATTTGATACGAGGTATAGTCGGCCCAAACCATCCGGGCACAAGCCTCCTAATCCGAGTTCACTTCTTGGACCTATGAGCGAGTTCAGAGCCCATGGGCACCCACAGATCAGTTTCCTATTCGAACACTGGTAAGGTAGCTCACTACCGCCTTAACTCCTCTAGGGTCCGTGTCAGAGTCACACTAGGATTCCCTCTCACGCCAGGATAAAGGGATCAAATGGCGTATCCTTGGAGGAAACAGATTGCTACGAGAACTCCCAATCCTACCACGATTGGGAGATCAGACAGTCACTATATAAATAGAGGCCAACCCTCTCACAAGGGACATTATACTACACCTTCATACCCGGAGTTCCTGCTTCACATCATCGTCGTAGTCACAGTCCCTGATTAGACTTCTGGTAACCTCTCTACTCCCTAGCTCTAACTAAATTAGCCTCTTTCAGCCTTGTTGACTTGAGCGTCGGAGTGTCTACGGCAAACACCACCCCGGTGTTTTCCATCGCTTCACGTTTGTTTCTCTACATGTGCAGGTGCAGCGGATCGTTAGTGGCCTTAACCTCACGGGATCAGACCCTTCTTCCGTACAGGTAGATTTTGACGTTTACAGTTTGGCGCCCACCGTGGGGCCTCTAGCAATCATTTGGTTCAACAAACCCTACTACGTAAAGAAACTTTCCATGGCTGATAATTTTGACAACGCTAACCCTGGCTTCGAGGCCAAACTAGAAGCAATGACTGCCCTCATGCAGTAGAACTCAGATAAGGTGACTGTACTGGAAGCTAAGAACACTGCCATCCGGATCGAAAACACCTCCATTAGGGCCGAAAACTAGTCTCTAAAAGAGAAGGTAAGTCAGTTTTATGATCTTGAGCTTCTGCCTTCTCAGGTACCACCCAATCGATTTCGCGCCTCTGTTCTATCTATGCAACCTCTCCAAGCCCTAGAGCCCAGACCCGTGGCCTTAGATAAAAGGTCACGTCAACTATGTTCGTCGGTGGTCGACCATTCGGTCCTGACCCATGGAGAAAAAGATTTGCTAGCGGAACCCCGCTCGACTGAACCATCACAAGATCAAGGTGTCCAAGTGACAGAAAGCCCACTCCAATAAGAACCACCCATCTTAGCCATCCTACCTCACCTCCAGTCAACCATCCCTACATCAAACCCATTCAGCTCGGCTTAACCTCGCGGGTCGAACGACCACCCATATCAAACCATCCTGCTCGAGTCCA